GAACTGTAATGTGGATGTTTCTAAATACCAGATTAAGAAATTGGGGCTTCATTCAATGATGGGTGGGAAAACATTAATGCTCCCTGTGTGATCTGAGTCGATGTTTTTTTTAACTCTGGCTGTATATTAAAACTAAAAATGCCAACACTTAGTCACCCTTCTCCCCACCTTGGATCAATTAAAACAGAATCTCTAGACCTGCACTGGTAAACCAAGACTAAAAACAAATCCTTAGGGACACAGTGTAGATAAAACCAAACTTATTTAGCGGCAGTTGTAGAAAGGAAATAGAAGAGAACAGCAATGGGAAGAGAGGAGAATTCAGGGGAAGGGAAGTATGGCAAGAACCCGAATGCAATAAAACAGAACAGAACAGAGCAGAGAGAGGCTTAAAGGAGAAACTGTTAGGAGATTATTACAGTAGTACCAAGGGACTAATAAGGGTCTGACACAGAGTGATGGCATTGGGAGGGATGGAGGGGATAACAGCACATGTACTAATATACAAAACATACAGTATACTAATTTAGCCATAAACTTAGAGAGAGAGAAAGGTAGGAGTAAAGTATGATGTTTGAGGGAGAGGAAATAAAAATAAGCAATTACAAGGACTTCCATGGGAAGTTAACAAGAAATTCATAGAATGATTTCCAGGCCACAGTGAAAACCAAAATAAAGATGGAGGCAAAGGAGACAGAAAAATATAAGATAACAACAGATAGATGTAGCACCTAGCACGATGTCTAATACATAGAATGTGCTTAATGCATAATTGTTCAAAAAATACGTAAAGGGGAGCTGAAGATAAAATCTTTTCCAGCATCTCCCATCAATGAGCAGAAGAAAGAAGGCACAGAACTAGAGATAAAAACAGAATGATCACAGGACACAAATACATTGTTTTAAGTCTCAAGAAGACTGTGGGAAATAAAGTATCACTCTAATGGAAGCTGAAGGGAGACAATTACATTTTGGTAGCATAGCAGCTGAACTATGAAATAGCCTGCAAGTTTACAAATAGTTTAAGAAACAAGTGAGTAAACAGGTGAGGTGAGTGTAAACTATTCCTGGCAAAGAGCCGAAGAACTTAAGGTAGAAAGGAAGTTTGTTTTGTTGTTTTGTTTTGTTTGAGGGTTTACTTACTATTTTTAAAGGATGGAGAGATATAACACCTTTGTGTCAAACATGTGGATGTTACTAGAAAGGCACAGGAAAAAAAAAAAGGACAAAATAAGGGGAATGGTTAAAAACAGAGGGAGACATCAAAGTTTAATAAGGGACTCAGGGGAGCCAAGAATTCCTAAGGTTAAACTCCTCAGTCAAATTGCTGGGTGGGCTTCCAGCTGAGAATGCTGGTACAAGAGCATGTTCAAAATATGTAGAGAGCCAAAGAAAGAAAATCATGAATAAACTTCTGGGCAACAGTGAAGACCAAATGAAGATCTGTAGTATGAGGTTAAATAACTATGTTCAACACCCTGAATTTGAGATGAGAAAAACTAAATAGAAAAGACTACCCAGGCGTATGAGTTATCTGTTGCTTTGTACAAATTATTCCAAACCTTAAAAGCTCAAAATATCATCCTATATTGGCATGGCTTAACTGGACCCTCTGTTGAGTCTCGGCAATCAAGGTGCTGGCTGGGCTGTGGTCATCTCAAGGCTGGACTGGGGAAGGTTCTATTTCCAAAATTATTTATAGAGCTGTTTGCAGGATTTAGTTCCTTATAGGCTGTTGAACTAAAGTCCTCTGCTCTTGGCTGGGTGCTGACTGAAGACTGTGCTCAATTCTTATCATGCTGGTCTCAACAGCATGGCAGTTGGTTGCATTGACCCAAGAAGACAATAGAGGGGTTTGACTAGCAAGTCACAAGACACAACCTTTTATTGTTAGTCATGGAAGTGACATTCCATCAAATTTCTCTTATTCTGCTGATCAAAAGAAGTCACTAGCACCAGTCTACACTCAAAGACAGGAGATTAGACAGGGGTGTGAATCAGCAGGCAGAGCCCAGTTGGGGCCATCTAGAGTCTGGCTATTAGATCAGGATTACACTAGGTCTGACTTAATGAGTATTTTAAAAGGTATCCAAGTTGATTTCTCTATGTACTTTCTATTATGTGTTTTAAATTATTCCTCTGCTAAAGAATTTTAAACAAATTAAGTCTCTAGGGATAAAAAAGATATTTATCTTTGAAAGTAGGCTGGTAGAGGTGTAAATAGGAAGAGAGATGAGTAAGTAGGAAAAAAAAAAAGAAGAAAGAAATGAAAATTTATGTTTGAGCCACTATGATTGAAGGTGAGATTTAGAGTCTGACGGTGCTTCTGCTGTAAGACTCAGGTAGAGGTTAAGTGAAGACCCAGCAAGTTGTGAACGTCACAGTTCTTGGTGTCGTCTTGGTGATCAGAAAGGATGCTAATGTCCTTGACTGTAATGATAGCGTGTATAGATGATCTCCTTGTACCAGGCACCGTGCTAAGCACCTCACATCACAATGATGATGATGGTGGTGGTGGTGGTGCTCATCAAGCATTCTGTCAGTGTGTTCTACGCTCTGTACTAAATACTTTACATGCATATGTCAGTTCATCCTCACAACAAATCTACAGTGATATTATATCCATTTCACAATGGGGAAATTAAGAATTTGAGAGTTTAAGTCAGTAACCTACCCAAGGTCACAAAACTAGAAAACAGCACCGTGATGGTGACCATAAGGTTCTTGGCTCAATGAAACCCCTTTACACTTTTATTGGACCTGCTACAAAGTCCAGATTGTTTGAAAAATGGTGGGAAACCTGAGATGAGTAAGGAAACAAGAGTGTAAGCCTAGAAGTAAAAGCATAACTTTTAAAGTAAAAGAGAGAGTGTGGAAAGATAAGGACATTTTGGAAGATAAAGAGACGTAAAAGTTAGGTGGTCTGATGAATGATGGTATTCATTTTAAAATAGAGGAGGGAGAAAAAGAAGGTTGCAAACAAACTATAACTTTTTATGAGACTGATTCCAGTTAGAAGACTTGGCTATCTCTCGCTTCCAGTTTGAAAGTAGGAACTAAAACATCCACATTATCAGGGTTCCTTAGTGGGAAGCAACGGAAAGGGATGCAGGATAGCTTAGGTAAAGGTGATGTGTGATAAAGCTAATGGGGGCTCACAGAACCACGGAGCTAGAGACCCAGGCTTAGGAACAAGCAGAAACCAAGTGACTGATGAGAGCCACTTCTGAAATGAAATGAAATGGAACAACAACCATTTTCAGTGTTTTCCAATCTCTGTGTAAGAGATTGTATTCAAGAAGGGAATATCTGACTGGCTTCGTTTGTGTCATGTGTCTATCCCGTCATCAGACTATAACCAAGGGTAAAAGGTTCATTTCTTAGGTGAAGTGCAGGGAATAGTCATTGGGCAGATAAACCAACATCAGATGTGTGCACAGGAAGCTATTGAGAATAAAGACTTAAAACTGAAACATTCAATGGTCCAGCAGTAATCAGGGATCCACCCAGCCACTTGGGGCTGAGGAGGAACGTCAGGGAATAAGACTGTCCCTGAACTGTATGTATGAGGGGAGAAGCTCTGCCTTTCCTGGATGCAAGGGGATAAGTCATTTTCCACAAACCACTTTACTCCACCCTGATATAAAAATAGCATAATTACTAGCATTTTTATCAGACGTATTTAATTTCCTTTTTGGTCTGCAGTGGGTGATAATCCAGGGGAATTAGTGAACCTGGGTCCTCTTCACTACACTGGGGTGATTTAGCTAATGATCTGTTAATGAGTTGTTAATCACGTATTCAAATTGGGAAGGTTGGGTGGTTGAGCAGGTGCTGAACCTGGGGAAGAATCTGCTGCAGTAAAACCTTCCAATTCCCATTTCCCTGGGAACAGGCTTTGCCTTTTCCCTCTTCACTTTTTCTGCTTATATGTATGTAATGTATGTAATTTTTCTTCCACATTCTGGCAGGATCTTGAACAAACTTGGTTCTTGATGTGTCCTGAAGTTCTGAAAGCATGGATCTACTAGTCTCGAATTTTCCATGTTGGTTGTTGATGTAGATAGGAATGACAGTGTAGCCTGTTTTGGCTACACCAACTGGAAAGACATTGAGCTTCAGAAAAGTAATAACTGACTGATCTATCAGAGCCTCCTGGCACCAGCAAACTGAAATTCTAAACAACTGTATAGAATCATATGGTATATGAAAATATTTTCACAGACACCATCTCTTTTGATCAGAAACACTAACTATGTGAGATGAAGTGATGAGATATTTTCCAGATGATGGGACGGGGGTGAGGGAAGTCGACATTTTCCCAAGGTCACTTAACTTGAAAGTAACAGAACTGGATTTTCATCCAGGTGTGCTCAACCTCAAGTTCTATTCCCTAGACCATGGTGCTTCTTCTAGAAACTGAAGTAAACATCTTAAAGGATACAGAGTTGATCTTATGCTTCATGCATGAACCATATTTTTGTCTAATATATTAGTGTTATTAAACTACAGGCAAGAGAAAACTTCCTGCAGAAACACGTGGGACACCGGTTAAAACCCCTTCTTCCCATTCCTGACCTACCAGGTTAGAATCTCTGTGAGTAGGTCCCATGGATCTGTATGTTATAGACTCCCACGTAGTGTTTATGCACACTAGCATTTGGGGATTTGAGTCTCTCACCAATTGCTTTACCATTAGCATTTCCAACACATTTAATAAGATTAATGACCTAGCCTCTCTGCCTAGAGTATGTAAGAAACACAACATTAGAAGCAAAGGAAAGGCTTTTTGAGGTGAACACACGTATCAGGAGAGGTAGTATCTGACAAACTCCTATTGAGAAATAGGAAATAAATGTTAAAATGGAGATACAGACCTATATTTATTACAATAAACTACAATAATGGAAATTAATTATGCCCATCCTGACTCAAGGGAAACAAAAAAGCTTAAATTATCTTAAGCTTAAAGTACCCTTTCTCCGTGAATACCAGGAAAGACATAATCAATGTTTAAAAATGTTTGTGAAACAACTGCATAACTTATTTAGTACTTGTAGAGATAAAACTTATCTTTTTAAGAGTTCCCTGAAAGGAGAATATTTGAATATAAGTTAAAAGACCCGGGCTCGAATCCCACCCCTGACAACGACCAGTTTCGTAAACATGGACCGGTTTCTTCACTTCTTTCTTCGCAGTAGTTTTCTCACAGCTGTCAAATGCCCTGTTCTGAGAATAAAATTAAATGATGGCTGTGAAAATCTTGTGCATATGGAAAAGCTTTGTATGGATGTCAGGTATTATAAGCACCTGAAAGATTCCCACATAGCATTTTATTCCTTCATACATCAGGATTAACAGTACATCATTAGTTTCTATTTACTAGCTAGCACAGGGATATTGGAATTAACTACTGAATTAATATAACTATGAGTCCAATGGAATAATCCACTAGCATATTTGTGTTCCTGACCTCTGTTCCTAATTAAAATGAGTTACTCTGGGCAAAAATCCCTTCACTTTTCATAAGCTTTCTTATCTTCAGAATGGGATTGGAAGCCTCTACTGGGCTTCCATGACATAAGAGTGGGGGAGAAAGCCTTGGAAAACTGAATTCTTTTGATGTTCCTATTCTCTAGATGTAAAAATATTATTATGAGGCACAGAGAAGTATTTTCATTAAAGTAGCTGATCCTCAAAGCCGGTAGATGACCCAGACAACTTGTATGATTACTTCTTTTATAAATGAACATAGAAATATTCTGAAGTAATCATTCCATTGATGAGTTTTATGGCAGATTTTCAGAGTTGGGTTAAATTGGGGGAACTATATCAACGGGTATTTGTTGTAATCGGTCGGTAGTTTGCTTTTGTCCTTTGTTTTGTAGTGTGCATTTCCTGACTCAATACTTCTTCAAAGAAGTGGTCTTGAAAGAAGTGCAACTAGGGTAGGGCTTTCAGAAGATGAGCAACAACCTTCTGTGTTTTCTGCGGATCCCTAAGTGTTCTCATTTCTAGAGAAAAAGGAATGCTTGAGGTCCATGGGCCAGTGAGTTTGGCTGAAAAAAGAACAGAAATAGAAAATTTTAAAACCAAGGTGAAAATGGATAAACCTGTCACTGCAACATTGTGTGCTAGTTTGTTCTTTTCCTTAACTCTTCAGAAAATGAAATGCAAGGGAACAAAAGACCCACGTTTTCTAATACATACTAGGGGCTTGTGTATGCTTGTCTGCTACACATTCATCATATTTATGTATCTTATGGTTTTCAGATACCAATGAATTGTGTTTTATTTTTCCCCAGAACCAGAAGAGAAATTTTATTTTATTCTACAATCATATCACCCAATAATAGTCACATGAAATCATCCTGATAGCTTCTTTGATAGAGTTGGAATACTGTATCTCAGTCAAGGAGTTAACATTTGCTTTAATTTTTTTTTTCAGAATCTTTGATTTCTGTGAAAGAAATATGACCTAGAATTTAAAATGATTAACAAAATCTCCAAAATAAATGATATTTTAAAACACATAAAGGGGTTTGGTTAGGGGTCATTTAGTCTTTCACTGTGTTGAAACTCTGCCAATCCCCATCCTTCAGAGAAAAACACGTTCATTATATTAATCAGAGAAAGGGATGCAGTGAAATAAACGGAAGTTATTAAAGAAAAGGAGATGGATGGCCATTGAGACAACCATTTGTTTTGCCACAACCAAATTTGTTTCCAGAAAAAAAACCCTTATCAATTTCTAGAGAATGGTTTGTTCTGTCATGGTAGATGCAGCGTTAATATTCTTTACTGCTCTCTCAGAGCCAGAGCAGCTCTCGGACACCAATCTAAATAAAGGAGAAGGGAAGGCTTAATCACACCTGACACTGACCAGTTATTAACATTTTCCAACAAGGGTATTAGAGGAAAAATTCTGAGAGGTCAATTTGTATTTCAAGAGTGGAGCCAAACGAGAGGAAACTTACTTGCAAGCAATGTGCTCAGGCGAGAGCAGGTACGTGAAGTCCCCTTCAGTTTGGTAAGCCTTTATTAAGCATCTTCTGCTACAGACATCATCGTTCAACAAGTTAGTTGTTGAGAAGAGAAAATTGTTAAGGGGAGAAATAAATTCAGCAAACATTTGTCAAAGCAATTTGAATAGACATACGCACAAGATGCAAGGGAGAGACTGATTAAGCCTTCCTGGAAAACTAAAACCAGGGAGAGGGTTGAGTTAGGAGTCTGGCAAGTTCCAGGCAGAGAACAAACCTGGGTAAAGGCTTGGGTGGGTGGGTAGTGGAGTTGAAATCAGGGGAAAAAAATGATGACACAGGTAGAAGTTTTTGTGTTTGTTTTAGAATTTCTAGGTCTGGGCATAGTTTTGATATAGGATAGGTGATTAATTGGTTAATTACTTTACCCATTTTATACCTACCTTTTTGAAAGTGACCTCTGAGTCCAAACCTATCTTGCCTAATATAAGCCCTTATGCCTGTCGGTCCTTCACTGTACCATCATCATATGACTGGTTCAATCCCTTACTCCTTGCTCAGTCTCCCATTTTCAAACCATTCTGTTATGCCTTCTGGAACTCGAATCCTACTATATATGGGTATATGTCTGTGTGTAGACATATACGTGTCCATGATATATATGGTATGTGGTGCATGTATATAATGCTCACTCTAAAATGCATTTTAAATTCAGGTTACCATGGATTTAGTTTATTTCATGATTATTTATACACTCATTTATATACTTAGCTTAAGTGGTGGATAATTGTTTTCTCTCACCTGTTTTACCTCTATATTAAGAAGTGGGGTGCTGTCTGTATCATGCCCTGCAGCCTCTTATTGCTCCTCCTGTTAAAATTTAAATGCTCCCTTTGGGGTTTCTGCTCTGAATATACCATTCTCTAAATACTATTGTCTGTTGACCTCCAATTTTTCACTCTTTAGTCATTAACTAGTCTGTCTCATGAATTTTCAGTCATTAAATATTCCAACCCATTCTCTTTGGCTACAACCTAAACTCTGTCAAATTCCAGCAGCAACTCCCATTACCTCAAATTCCACAAGGATGAATGACTGAACATTTCGGCTCCCTTCCCTAGCCTTTTCATCTCCAAATGACCCTCTTTAATCCATCCAAATTCATTCTTTGCACTTGGTTATGTGGCAGACTATATACTCAACATTCCAAAGTCCCTAAGTCAGTCATCTCCTTCTCTAAACAAAACTCTATTTCCTTCCATCGTGCTTGTAAAACTATTCTTACTTTAACCTTATAGGCATCTCCACTGCACTCTTCCCTTCTCATCTTCAGATTCCAGAATCCATCAGTTAAATAACCACTGTTTATAAAGTCTATCCCAGTTCCCTCTCAATGTTTTGCCTCATCTCTCTCTCAAACTCCCAACACTAAATAAACCCAAAGACACATGTTCTCCATGTCTGCACCTGGGTTGCTGAGCACAGAGATTAAAAAAAGCCAACAGACAACAGCAAAGAAGCAAAACCACTCAAGGAGACAGCTTGGTTCCACAGCATCTCCAGTCTTCAAACTAAGCTGAGGTCCTTCCATTGACTGCAAGTCTACCGCTTCTCTAGTCCACTCCTCTCACTCCCAGAAGTTCTGTAATCCCTGTTTCAAAGAGAAAATAGAAATTACTAGGCATGAGCTCTTTCACATACAGCTTCCCAGGCATGAAAACCTTCCATTATCTGTACCCTCTTTCTCTTCTTCTGTTACAGTAAAGGGCTTGTATGGGTTCCTGCAAAATGTGGTTTCCGTTCCACTTTTCCTGACTTTCTGAAGAATTTAACCTTATTTGTAATCCTTCTCCCCATAACAGTTAACATTTCCTTCTCAATTAGATTCTTCCACCAACTTTTAATTAAGCTGACTTTAATCTAAATAACCAGAAAGAAAACAACACACAACAAAAGCCTCCCTTGACCCCCAACAATTACCTACAGCTAAATTATTCTCTTTATTCTCCTTTCAACAAACATACCAATGAGATGTCTATATTCCCTACATCATTTCTCCATGTCTCATTAAATCCCTAAGTGGCTTCCATATGACTCTAGTTATAACATCCAACTGTCCACTGAAACAGCTTGTATTAGGAAACAAGCAACCTTCAAGTTGTTAATCCAAAGAATAGGTCTCAATCTGCATCTTAACCAATCATAGTTTAATATCTGAAAGACTCTTTTCTTGAATTCCTAGGGACTTTGACTATGGCTGCTTGGTCTCTCTCTCCTTCTCAAACTCAGCCTACTTTTCTGGGATAGTAAATGTTGGAGTTGCCCAAGACTTAAGCATAGTGCTACTTTTCTCAAGCTATTTTGTGTCTCTAGACAAGGGATCAGCAATTTATGTTCTGTAAAAAGTCCAGAGCGTATTTTAGGCTTTGTGGGCCATACATTCTCTGTTGCAATTACTCAACTTTGTTATTGTAAAATGAAATCAGCCAAATCAGCCATAGGCAATACATAAATTAATAAGTGTGGCTGTGTTCCAATAAAACAGTATTTATAAAAATCACTCAGTAGGCTGGATTTGTCCCGTGGAGTTTGCCAATCCCTGGCCTAGATCATCTCTTCCATATCCATGGCTTTAATTGCTACATAGAGAGGAATCAAAAACCTTTATCCATCCATGACCTCCTCTCTATATTTCAAACTGACATCTGACATCTGCACTGGAACAATTAAAAAGCAGCCACAGATTCAACAAAGGTTCTTGTAAGTAAAACTAAAACCCTTACAATCCACAAGACCCTATATGATAGGCACACCCACCCATTAATTTCAGACACTATTCCTATTATCCATCCCATCTCATTCACTCTACTCCAGTTGGACAGCTTCCTTGCTGTTCTTTGTGAGCATTCCCAGCAGGCTTCTGCTCCAGGGCCTTTGCACTGGCCTTCCCTCTCTCTGAATATCCCACTCCCAGATGTCCACATGAACGGCTAATTCATCTCCTTCAAGTCTTAACTCAAATGTTACTTTCTCAGTGAATAATACAGCAGCTACCCTATTTAAAATGGCATCCTTCGCACTTTGACAGTCTCAGTCTCCCTTGCTCTGCTCTCTATTTCCATGACATACGCTTTCCAAAACACTATATGATATACTTCTTTATTGCGTTCATTTTTATAGTCTACTTTCTCTCACAAGAATACAAGCTCTAAGAAAGCAGCAATGGTTTGTCTATTTTATTCTCTGAAGTATCCAAAGATCCTAGATAGGTGTCGGGCATCTAGTCCAATTGAATAAATATAAGAAATATAAATGAATGAAGCTATCTGAAGCCAGATGCATAATGCTTAAAAGTAACCTTTAGGTAAAAACCAAAATCCTCGCTTCTTTGGCACCATTCATATCTATTCTTGCTGCAACTGAGCTTTCCATGGACTGCACCACGATCCCCACTGCCTAGAGCCTTGGCATATACTATTCCCTCTGCCCGAATGCCACTCCCTCTTGCTAATTTTTATTCCTGTTAGCCCCAAATCAATGAACACTTTCTTAACAAAAACTTCCTTGACTTTCCTAAGTCAATTGCCAATATTAAATGTTCTTACAGTGCACATTTATTTTTGTGATTTCTCTGGTATTGTGTATTCCCTTCATAGGAATTGCAGACTCCATGACGACAGACATGCTATTTTCTCCTCTCTCTTTTTCTTTCTTTCTTTCTCTCTCTCTCTCTCTCTCTCTCTCTCTCTCTTTCTCACACACACACACACACACACACACACACACACACCAATGTAATTTGAATAGTTAGCTTAGTGGTTGGCACATACTGGGCACTCATAGTCTGAGGAAGAAAAGAGAGAAATAGCCCCAAGTTTTAGAATGAGAAGGATGATACTATCTCTAACTAAATTAAGGAAAATAGACAAAATGAGGCATTTGCGTTTTGAGGCAATTTGTCAAGTTAGAGATCCTTATACATTGGATTATTTGTTACTTGCTTATATAGTACTAGAATTTAGAAGAGCTAAAGGCCATGAATAGCGATTTTTAGAATCATGGTGTTGGACTGGATGAGATTCCCTAACAAGAGCGGGCTGAAGGAGAAAAAGTCAAGGAATCGGACGCTGATGACCCCCTATTACGCTGCTGGCCGATGAAGGTCTCTCAGCCAGAAGGACGGGGAAGCGGCTAGAGGAAGAGGAGAAATAGTGGAGGATGTTGGCAAGGAGATGATGACAGGAAACTATTAGATTGGAGGAGGATATGTCGATATTGTCAAATGCTACAAATAGGTGATTTTTAATAAAGGCTGAAAAATGTAAGATGTTATTTCAGTAAAATGGTAAAAGTAGAAGCTAGATGAAGTGGGAAAAAAACTATTCACATAAGCATTTTGAGGGGCTTGACTCTGAAAAAAAAGGGTGGGAAAGGTATTATGGTAGAATGAGGATAAGCATGAATTGGCCTATTTGCTACAGTATCTTTCCCAACACTATTCTAATTTTTAAAGGATGGTAAAAATAATACTGACCATTTATTGAAAATGCCATCAGTCATCATGTACTAAGCTAATCATGCTGTGTATACTCTAGAGAGGGAGTAATTGCTTTCCTACAGTTTCAGATGCGGATAATAAGGGATGGGAAGTTCAGGTAACTGTCTGTCAAGTCACAGAGGTAGTAAATGGTGTACTAGGTATTCAAACCCAGATCTATGTTTTTAACCCTGAATCAGGTTTTCCCCAGTATCTGTTATCTCCCTGTCTTCTTCAATATTTTTGCCTTGTACCATCTTTATCATTATTTGTTTAATATTTTTCTTTGAATACACTGTTTCACTGTTGATTAGCTTCATGTCCAAGGGTTTTGTTTTGCATAAACACATTTACTAATTGTACTTTATCAAGTGCTCTATTTATTACATGCATATTTAATGCATTTTAAATTAGTTTACTTAGACACACATGGATACATATTAATTATTAATAAAATTTTCTTAAGCAATTTAAGCCACACTTTCAAATTTGGCTATCTCATTACTTTAAATGGTTCAGCTACCTTAAATAGCAAGTAAGATAGACACAAACATAGTTATTATCTATATTATCTGGGGAAAGCACTATGCTCACTCTAAAATCTATTATAAATTATAGGTATCATGAAATTAATTTCATCATTACCTGTACACTTGTCTTTATACTTACCAACAGTTACTCAGATGATACCATCCTAAGGTTAACCTTGAATTTATATATTTCTCCAAGGCATTTTAATTTTACCACACCAAAAGGATGAATTATAACAGATCAACCAAGATTACAGGGCCTGGGTTATAAATAAAATGGATTCTTGATCAGGATGCCACCTGTTGTTGCTTTCTATGAATATGATTCAAACTTGAGACACATAATGTCATATTAAGCTTCTTTTCCACATCCTACATTCACCAGTTATGTTTCTAAAGCTTTTGGGGTCCATGTCTTTCATTTAACTTTAAGTATTTTTTCCAGCTGGAACCTTTTCCTCAAATGATATTCTCTTGAGTTCTTGTTTACCTGGCATTATCTGGCTGTCTCACTACTGTATTATTTTTACCGGCCATTATTCTGTCACCATAACACATTTACCGATTATGTTACCATTATTAAAATCAAATCAAGGCCTTACAAGTGTCTCATTATAACTAGAAGTGTCTGTTGGAGGTTGTATGTCCTAGGAAATGCAGAATCAATTGCACACTTCTTTCAGGAGGATAGGTTATTTGATTCATCTATGATCTTGAAACAAACTAAAATTTTGGGCAATAAGTGATAATTTGTGGTTGTTAACCAATAGACCCTTTTCTAACTGATAAACTACCAGGATACCTATGATCAATTTTATGGATAAGCTATTAATGAGTCCTTGGTGCAGTTCTCAATTGTCTAACTTACTCCAAGTATCCAATATTTACCAAATTCTATTTACACAGATAAAAGCAAGGGGATATCTATGCTTTGCAAAGATGAACTTAGAAGAATAAATAAAATACCCACATATAATAACATTAGCTCACTAATTAAAACAATAAATTTTAAATTTTCCTATTTTATCCTTCTTTTGTATGAAAACTTCCTAACCTTTCAAAACTTTTGTAATTAGCCATAACTCTCATCCCCTTTAATATTCAAACCATTATAACCTTCTCAGTAGAGCTCCTTTGAGCCAGATTCTTTGTTTTTTATTACCACCCTTGACAGTCTTAAAAATGTTCTTCCTTTCTGTCAATAATAGTCATTTCCAAAGCTATATGGATTTTTTCTTGCCTCAAACTATTTTCTTGGGAGTTTTGGTTCTTTGTTTAGTGGAGAATATTGCAGACCATAATCTGCAAGCTAGGAGTGAACACAAATGCTGTGATGGGCAAAAGTTCTGTGGCTGCTTTTCACCCATGTTTAGAGTCAGAGCTGAAAAGATATTTCCTTTCAGCAGCATTTGTTTGCTTGCTTTATTTTTTTATTCCCCAATTCAATACGGTTTGTTGATGTTCTGTACATCAGCAAGGGCCGGGATTTTCATTACTACTAAGTCCTTTTATTCTAAAAACACAGTTTGAATTAATTGACTTTTAAAAGGAAAGTTTATATCAGTACCATAAATTATTATCAGT